AGTAAAACAAAATTTTGTCTGCTGTTTAAGAAATTAGTTTCCTACTGAAAATTATCTATAGTTAGCGAATGACAACAAAGCAATGACTGAAACTGTCTTTCAAAGACAATTGCATAGAACATTTATTAGGTCCCTACTTATTCACAGTGGACAGAACCACTGTGAAGAATGCCACAAGGTAGTCTCTTGTTCACTGTCTGCAAGTCTGAAGGTAGAGCTAGCCAAAACATGTCTCAGTTCCTCCTCCTATATCAAGTGTATGCTTATGATGTTCTCTGGGACTTGGCCATTCCCTCTTGTCTTTCTTGCAATTCACTCTCTCCTCTGCCCCGTTTACAGCCTGTTAAACATACTGGTGTGTGAAGAATCACCAGGATGTATCCAAAAGAATATTTTAAGAGCTATACTGCATAGTGCTGTCATGCCTTCAGGTTAGGAGCCTGGGGACAGAAGCGATTCATATGACTGAGACAGAAATACTGAATAGGGACAGTTGGATTCCCAGGATCCAATTTGCAACAATCCAGTTGGCTGTAGGAGCACCTAAATCAAGAAATAGGATTTCTTCTGGTGTCCTGTTTCTTGTTTTAAAAAGATATATCATTCTTGGCTATATTTCCATGAGATTTTATTTTTACACATTGCTCTTAATTTATATAAGTTGGTCTGAGTCATAAATATCTGATACATATAGGCACTTCTGTGAGGTTTAAAGAAGACAAGGTCTGGAAAGAGAGGTCAAACCCTTGTTTTCCCAGGTATTTACAGATATTTCCCTCCCTTCCCCTACTTATTCCAGTGGGTGGGAATGGCATTGTAATTTTGACTACTATAAAACCCTCACAGTCTAGTAGCTTTTCAGAACATTTATTATATTTTATACATAGTTCATATGTTGTGCTTAAACTCTGTGGTGCATCATGAATGTAAGGCACTTAAACAGGCAGCCCAGAGTAGTTGTGGATATCCTATCTGTCAAATTATTTAACCAAATAAATATAAATTATAAATTCTGAATCACTGTGCCTATCTGTTATAGTGTCTAGCTTTTTATTATTTCAAAATTCAGAGAAGCCAATCCCACTGATCTCCAACTCAGAAAAGAGAACATTTAATCAGCAACTAATGCATTAACTTCAAGCCACAGCAATGTAGATTCCCTGTTTTGGTTTTGTAATTTGAAATTAAATCCTATTCATGAGGGATTTAGAACTTGGTGATAAAAGCTAAGGCCATAGCTTCTCTTAGATGAAGATTATGGGGTAATAATTGTTTCAAGGTGTAGGAATACTAAATATATACAGGTTATAACTATTTTAAGGTGTAAAAATACCAAATATATACAATCTGATTTTATGTATTTGTTCCTCTTACTGGAGAGGAGAAGTACAATGGGAAGAAAATTGCTGTCCAGTTTAATTTAGCTGTAGAAGGGTATTACAAATCATAAGAGAATTTTTTTGCTATTTTTTGCTATTTCTACTGCTGACTTATTGTGTATTTATTTTTTCAGTTCTTTGTCATTTGGAAACAGCAGAATAAAAGACTGCTATCACAATGCATTAGAAAAACAAAATAATTTTTCTTATGATTTTAATGAGTCACTTTCTAAATTTTCCATTATAAATAATCCTGTGGTAATTCTCACAGTCAAACCTGATGAGACTTTTATTTTTGTGTCATACAATATCTCAACTATAATTGAGATGTTTGAAGGCACACCCAGATAAAAAGATAAATTTACAAGGACTCAAATTGGACAAGTGTCAATGCTAGTTTTAATGTTTCAGGTTTTGCTATTGTTTGGTTTGTTATTCTAGGTATCCTAGCTGTTTTTCATGTTTATTACATTTTCAAGAAATAGGAATTGCTCCTGCCAAGACTTTGAGACTGTTCTATTTTCCCTTCATCTCTGTGAAAGGAATGATGATAAGGAATTATCCTCACAACTCCTTGTGCAGTGCAGAAGAGCCTAAAATAGCTCTGAGCTGGCCTTCATTTCTCAACTCCATCACTGAAATTCAAAAGAGCTATGTTTGCATGGCATTGAATAAGAAGAGTAATTAGCAACAATGTATGTGTCCCCTTGTCCTGGACCTGTAGACATTGATCCTGGAGTCAGCTGGGATATTTCAGACTTGCATTCCCTGGTTTGATGAACAAGTACTCAGTGAGGGAAATGAAACAGTTATTTTAGTGTAAACCGGGATTTACTCTACTCAGTCTCTAATAAGATTTGAGAAGTAAGAAGTGGATTTATGAAATCTGTAGGCTTGTTCCTTACTTAAATGAGTTATAGCAAGGGAGCACTAAGCCCCCATTTAACCTCAAACACCGCTGTATATCCTAGTTAAGGAACAATGAAATATTATCCTGTTATCACATACTGATCAGCATTTTATACAGAATGCAAACTGCTGTGATGTAATTCTTCTTCCTGTTGCTCCAGCAGTGGTTTTCAATAATTAATTCTGATTCTCATTACCACTACACTGACTTCAGTGGACATACTCAGATTTTGCATGAGTGCAAGGACTTAATCAGAAACACTAGTGTCTTCTTTCTGATTTTTTTGAGCATTGCTAGGATGTATCCTAAACAAGGGCCCTGAAATTTTTTGTCTTAGCTGACACAGAAATAGAGGAAAAAAGTAGGTCACTACCCCAAGAAGCTGAGAAGCTTTCCTAAAGGAAAGAAAATATTCCACTTCTAACAGAGTCTGGAAAGTGGTGATAAGAATTATCTGTTTTCAAAATCAAAAGTAAACTTCTTTTTCTCTTTATTTCTTTCTCTTCTTCTTGTTGTAGTTGATTCTTTGGAATCAATACAGCATAGAACAATTAAAGTTTAAAAAACCCCTAAAATTCAAAGAACACAACATGCTCCAAAGGTCATGCTTATGGCATTGTCAAGTGATGTGTTTTTCTAATAGTCTTGGTTTGACTGATAATGTGATTGAAAAAATATATTTCACCCTCCCCCCCCCCCCCGCTTTTTTTTCACTATTTAGAAACAATAAATGGGAAGATTTTAAATACTTTTTGTTCTTTATTCCTGGATTTTCTTTTGCTCTTTCTTCCTGGATGTTTTTCTCTCTTTTTTTTTCCCCTGAAATACCTTCTCTCAAGGTAAAAAGTATAGATACTATTGGCTATAGCTCCAGCTTTCAAGGTTAAATCTGGGTATGATATTTTATTTGTGCTTTGTTTTCCCTAAGACAATTCTGCAGCTCAGACTAGGATCCTGGCTAGATTTACTGCTTTATCCAGCTTGAACTCTTAAGATCTCCTGAATCTTATTTACGTCTACAAACAGCTTATATTTAGCTGAAAAGATGAGGTGGTTTTGTGTAGGAAAATGTCAAGCCCTCTTGCTATTCTATGGTAGAGCAAAACGGCTTACTCTTCGGCTTTCCTGGGTTTTAAAACTCATTTATTTTCCAAAGTAAGTAACATGCTGCCATCTGCTGGCAATAAGAAATTATTTTATTACTTCAAATGACTTGGTGAATACGTTTTCAAATTCTTAAGGAAGTTTGTTTGATGTTATTTTCTCTTCAGTAAAACTGTAGGTATCTGAACAGCATAAACTTGCAAAGGACCATTCAATTATAATTTATAATTTACTTCAGGATCCCTGTGAAATCCTTCTTACTTGAACGAAGTCCTATCACAAAGCTAAACTACAAACTCCAAACTCCTTTTCAGCTAAAAGCCTGGAAAAAAAGTAAATTTCCTTAAAGATAGAGAAGAAGGTATACCCTTTCATAGGATTTTGAATGTTCTTTAAATCCGACCAAACAAAAATGTATTTTCCCAGATAGTCTTTTGGTCCTAACTCTGAAAATTTTAAAAATATTTATCTTAAAGGACCTGCATGGAAGTGCTGTAGGCATAGAAATATTTAAGGATCAAAGCTTTTGTTCTTTTCTTTGTTTTTGAAGTAGTATATTTTATAAGAAGAAAAACAGGGGAACAAATGGGATAACTGTTGGGTGGCTCTAGGTGATTTGTACTTCTGAATTTTACTTCCTACTTCATCTCCAGTTAAATCCATTATGTACACAGTCATATAATCTGAAGAATACCTCTTTATAATTTCACAATGGAACATCAGAAAGGAAAAACAACAACAACAAAAAAAACCCCAACCAACCAACCAAAAAAAAAACAAAAACCAAAGGAGCTCTGTTTAATCAGCTGAGAACCATAACTCAATTCAAACTTGGCCTTCCTGGCCGGAGTGCTGGCCAAAATTTCAGTGGTGTAGTGACATTCTGCAACCTGAGAGAACAGGTTTTATAATGAAATATCTGGTTGAACCAAAGTAATTTCCAACAGCACATAATGACCATTTCTTAAGGTGAAAGTGTGTATAATGTATTTTTGATTTATAATTTATACTTCATTTGCACATAAGCAAATAGAGAAAACAGTCTATGTGTATGTGGCTAAATAATCACACCCAGTTATACAATCCAGGCCATTTCAGGTGACTATTTCAAGGTGTATGTAGCAACTATTACACTGTTCTGTTGGAAGAATTCTTGAAAACTGAAATACAAATGGAAATTCTGGTACCCTGACTCTTGTGTTGCCACTTATACTGAACAAGATGAATATTTAGGACGTACTGGGGTAAATACTGCTGCTCATTTTTATTCAGTTGTTTTAGTAAATATGAATATGCCTAATGCACAGGGCAGCATCAGATCTTACTGGTCATAAAAGTATGTTTAGTAAAACATAGTTTCATCCATTAGGATAATTGGTGATAAAGCACCACTGTTTTGTTTTCAAATTACTGTTTTCTTTTCCTCAGTCATATATTTCCCTTCTAATACCCTTGTTTTCTAGCATATAAGAGAATCATATTGAACTTCTGGCCTTGTTGCTAGGTTTCAAGCTGCATTTATGCAGTCTACTGAGACATTCTTCTCATTTTTGAATTTTGAATCAAGTCCCAAGGCAACAGTGCCCTGTTTCTTAGCAACACAGATGGGTAGACTGTATATTCCAGCTCTTTTGTACAATGGAAGAATAAACAATTCCCTGAGTAAGTGTGTGCTGCAAGCCCATTGCTTCACTTAATCTCCTGGAGAAGAGAGGAAAGGGAAGTCTTCTGTGGTACAGCAGATGAAGTTTGTCTGGAAGTCCCTGTCTCTGCAGAGTGGTGAGTCATATCTCTATTTTTTCTGTTCTCTGCATCTCTCTGGGGTCTTTATTCACTGCTGTGCATATGGATCTGTAGCTACTTCAGATCAGTGAATTTCAGTTAAAAGATACAAACAGGCATCAAAACCAAAGGTAACAAAGCTGGCAGAAGTGGGATGTGTAAAAGTACATAGACTTTTTGCTCGGGTGAAATTAATGGAGAGTCATAAAATTGCATAGCTTTAGAAAATCTGGGTGCAAACCCTTGATTTTAGGAAGGAAATTAGGGCTAGAGAAAATAGGTAGTGATTAAGAGGTAAGGAGGAAATGTGCATTCATGCAACTAACATCTTAGTAGTCTGTTACCTGTGTTTGAAATGGAGAAAAGTTATCCTTTTAACATAATCTCTGCAAAGTGTTAGGCAGTTTTGAGTAATTTTGGGAACATAGGCAAATTCTGAATTTTGCTGCCTTCAGACTGTGGGACTAACATAACCATGTAGAGGGAGGAATACAAGGGAGAGGAAAAGGGGAAGAGAAGAACACACAGCTCTGCATAGCTGAACATTTCTGCTCCTGATACCTGTGGAGGGGCAGGTGCATACATCATCTTTTCATGATGGCAACAGCAGCAATGCTAAGTTTCAGATAGTACAATTTTAGCACAGAGTGGAAGAACAGAAGCACTTGTGCTATTCATCCCCATGACCTTGGCAAGTACCTGTTTTACCTGGACCTAGAGCTGGCCTAGTCAGTCTGCCAGTATCTCAGTTTAGTTGCAAAACAAGAAAAGGCTGTTTTACATGTGTAAAGAATCAACTGTCAAATTCTTTCCAAAATTTTTTCAATCACAAGGTAAACACAGCAGCTGGCTATGGTGGGACAGCTGGCTTGCCTGTAGACTGCCCACACACACTTCATGGGAAGCCTAGGCTACCTTTGAACACAGAAGCAAAGTGCCCACTCAAGTTTACTCACCTCATCCTAAGCAGGAACGGGGCCAGGTTGTGCTTCAGTGTTTGGACAGCCTGAGTATAATATGTGAAGTAGAGACTGAGTTTTGGCCCCTTTCCAAAGGCTATCCTGCATCAGGGATCTGTTGCAGCTGGAAGTTTTCCAGCCGTGTGGTCCTGGGCTGGAAAGAACCTGTCTTGGCAGCACAGCACAGCAGAGCATGAGCTGGGAACCAAAATCACATGAAAAAAAGAGCACTGAAATGTGACCTTCCAGAAGTAATTTATGGGTGCTTGATTTATCTCCAGTAAGCTGCCCACCCAAATCTTTGTTCAGAAACACATCTTTGGTGGTAAGGACATACTTCCATATGCCCTTATCCTTCAATGGACCATGACCTTTTTATAAAAAAACCCATTCTGTTATCAGAATGAATAAATACAAAGAAAAGAAAGTTGTAATGTTAGGGCTTTCCTTCAGGTTTCCTGATCATCGAGTTATTACAGTAGGAAAAAAAATTGTTTTTATTTTGTTTGGGCCTGCTGCAATACTCGTATGATCTATGTCTTTCTTTCAGATTTTCAGGGCATAAAAAGAGCTCCTGTGTAAGAAAGATAACAGTATGGGAGTGGCTTTTAGATCACGGAGATAAAACAGAAAACATGGATAAGGTAGTATCTGCGTCGAGTTTGTGCACAGAGCTAAATACTTTACTGACTATTGAGGGTGTTAATGCTGCTCCTGTGGCCCTTCATCCTACCTAGAGGCATCCTCGGGAAACAGCCTTCCTCTACTTCTGAGCAAAAAGATGAAGCTCATGGCACTGGCTACCAGAAAACCCATGGCAGGACATAACATTTGGGCACGTATTAGGGTGGAGTATATAGCAAGGGGGTAGCTCTAATTAACATTGTGTCCTGGGTTTGCCCAGGAATGCAGAGAAAGATGAAAATGCATTAATAGGAATGGAGAGCAGAGCTTCAACATTTCCCTCTTTTGAACTTCTTTTTGTCACTTCTACTTGTACAAAGCGAGATTCATGTAAACCCAGTTGTGCCCCTATATAACCCCAAAACCCTGCTGTGGTGCCCTGCATGTGCAGAGGTTTAGTCTCCTGTGAGGATGTACTGCTTAATGAGTCAAGAATTAAAATATGAAAAAGGGGTGTAAAAAGGGGTGTATTTGTGTTGTTACATAGTGATGAGTTTTTTAGGTAAAATAAAATTCAGTTCCTATTCCTAGAGGCTGGTATGAATGTGTTAATTTCTAACATTCATGCTTTTGTGACTTCATATGGGCTTTCCCTAGGCTCAGGAGTTTCCTTCATCAGGTTACTTTGCAGAAGTGAATGACAGAACCAAAAGCAGTACTTCTTCATCTAAGCACAAGTACAAAATAATATTAAAGTACAACCATATATTTATCTTCATTGAATGTGCTGGGTTGTGCAGACAAGTATAGTTAGAGTGAAAGTAGCAATCAATAATAAATGTATTGTTGTATTGTTGTATATATTGGGTGGGGGGAGGGGGTTGGGGGGGAATCTAGGGCATACCTCTGGCTGCCCTGGAAGGTCTGGGACCCTGTCAGGGGGTCAGGAACCCCCCTGTACAGAGCCCCGAGAGACACTGTCTCTGATCTCTGTCCATGGGAAAAGTTTTCAATTTTACAGGATGAATTAATAGCTCTGAGTGTTTGATAAAGTAATAATTAGTGTGGCATGGGTGCAAAAGTAGAATTTTAGGATTCTAGGTAAGGGGTTCAAAGGGGGCAAGATGGAGGAAACTGGGTGTGTCTTGTCCTTTTTCTTTTTCTTCATGCCTTCCTTGTTTCACTGTAGTGTTGGCATTTTTCTATTGGTTTAGGCTGGGGACACACTATTCAATGTAGGTGATAGATACTGGCATGTTATTGTAAATATAGCACATGTAGTTTCTGGTATATAATGCTTGTAACATCCCACTGAGGGGCAGAGCCCCACACGCTGTCCTGCAGGACAGACCTGTGGCAGGGCAGCAGAACATGTTATAGATAAGCAAGACTAAACAACCTTGAAAACCAGCACAGACGAATTATGGCTTCTTCTTTGGCAGTGGGGCTGAAAGGCAGAGACTTTCTATAATCTCGGGATCATTTAAATATCATAGATTCTGACATGTGTGTTGGGTTTTTCTTTTTCTTTTTCTTTTTGCCAGGGACTGCAATATTTGAGAAGAAAAAAATTAAATCAGGCCATTATGTTCATCCTCCTCCAAGAAGCGAGAATTTTTTTCTTTAAAATTCAAGGAAATTTTTTTCTTTAAAATTCAAGGAAATTTTTCTGCAAGTCTTGACTGCCCTTTTTTACAACAACAAACTGCAGTGAAGCAATCCAAAGCCAACACAGATTTATGGCTGAAACAACCTCCTGATTTTAGACACCAGCTCTATAAGTCATCCAACCTTCCTCAGAAGCCACAAGGAAAGGGAAAAGGGGAACTGAAGTCAAAAAAGACGCCTGAGGCCACAGTCATGCCAGAGCTACACTTAGGGTTGGGAAAACCACAAACCAAGGATTTCAGAGACAATGACACTACAAAGGCATGCCAAGGGGGGCACAGCACTGCCCCAACATTGCTCCCTCCACACCTTTCTCCTTGGCACCACCCACGTATGGAGGGTCTAACCTGATTTTTATTTATGCCTCAACATTTGTTATGCATGATATGCAAACTTTCTTTATGTGTTGTACTGACACGATAGAAAGCTCAGTCCTCTGGCAGCTTCGTTTGACAGACAACGAGGGGAGAAAAATTCCCACACTCTGTCTTCAAGGGCTTCCCCCTTGCAGATGAGGTAGATCACTGGCTTCCCAGGAGAAAAGTGTCACAGTTTTGGAGGCAGACCAGAGCCCGGACACACTGAGTTCATGCAGAAAGTTCTCCTCACTGAGCTCACCTCCTTTTATACCTGGCTGAGCCAGTCCCTTCCTGGCCAGCCAGCCCGGTGGAGCCTGAGCCCCCGGCCTGGGCCTGCTCCCGCCGGTCGAATGATGCAAGTAAGGTAATTATGTAATGGATCACATATTTCTGCTATAAATTTGTAATTATTTATACTCTGAGGCTTACAGGCCAGCTGTAGACCACCACCCTTTCGGCCTTCGCCTCAATTCAACAGGCCCGGGCCCTTTCTAGTTGGTGATGGATCCCATATATTCTTGAATTTGTGACATTCACTCTAGGGAGCCGTCAGGTGGGACCATTAGCAATACAAGTTATCAATGTGGCATGTTGCATGCTTATAGCCCAACACTTACAAACTTACAACTTAGCTCTAACACAGGAAACAACTTGGCAGTTACAAATGTACAACTTAACTCTAAAAATAAGAAACAGCTCAACCTAAAACCAGGAAACATTTCCATTTTCAGAACTGTGGGAAAAACAACCAACAACCAACAACCAACAGGCCTGTGGTCTATATTCTTAAATAAATAAAATATTTAGTCTTAATTTCTTTAAATATATTAAATCCCTTTAATAGTGCCACCTGTTTTAGGATATACAAAGTACTAGGCGTTCCTCCGTTCCTGTTTAAAAAATATATTTTAAAGTGCTATGTAGGGGATACCAGTGGTGTAACACACCCTAAAGCTGTAAGAATTGTATTTAGTAAGGTAACTGCTTCTGAAATTGCTATTTACAAGACTAATTCAAAATCTCCTTTCCAGAAAGATGTTACACTTTGTTTTCTGATTTCAATATTTCAATTCCTTTGATGAAATGAAGAATTTCAATCTTGTGATTTCAATGAGAATAAATTTGGCAAGGTTTGGTCCATCACACTGCACTCCATGTTATCCTAGTATCCCAGTCCATTTCATTGTATTTGCTCCATTTCCAAATTTCCTTTTCTTTTTTTAATTCCATTTGATTTTATTGTATCTCCATTCCAGAGTGTTCTCTTTGTCCACTATGTTCTCTGATTTCAAGATTTAATTTCCTTTCATTTCATGAAAGAAAATGAAACCTTGCGATTTCAGTGGGTATTAATTTGACAAGGTTTAGTCCATTTCCCTCCACTTCAATGTGCACCTTTCCATTGATTGTTTTCACTTTGATTAATTATTTTTTAATGGTGTTTATTTCTTCAATTTCTTTTGTCCCTTCAGTTCACTTGGATTCCTGATTTCAAGATTTCATTGCGGATAATTTTGGCAAATTTCAGTCCTTTTCACTCCACCTCATTTCATCCCACCCAATTTGGTTTTAGTAATTCCTTTTTCATATTTTCTTTTTTTTTTTCCCAATTGCACTTGATTTTATAATTTGTCCTTTCCAGACTGTTTGTTTGACTTCCTGCACTTATTTCAAGATTTTATTTCCTTTCACGAATGGAAATTCCCCACAGACAGAACCCTAGCCCCTAACCCTAACCCTAAAGCAGCATCCTTTTTGTGGTGCCCAGGTATGGTTAGGGCTGGTGTATTTTTATCTTACCTAAAAGCAATGTGTAAAGTTTATTCTACAGCTAACTTCAATGGTCTTAGTTCTAGGTATGGTGGTTTTTCTGATGTTAAAATGTATTTTCCTTTACAAATGCAGTGTGAACCTAATTTACTACATTCTGTGACAGGTTACGCCAGAGATCTTTGCAATCTGAAGTTAAAACCACAGCATTTGATGTAGCATAGGTGAATTTTCACAACGTGCACATTTATTGTGTTTGAGAATTTAGGAACACTACTTCAACAGTAGGGAGCAGGAATAAGAGCACAGGACCCTCAAACCTGTCTTAAGTGGTCTTAGATGAAACTTGAAGATCAAAGAGTAGCTTTTCCCCTAAGTTTGAATATCAGAGAAATTCCACTTCCAAGTTGTAAATAATAGACTCAAATCACAGAAAGTACTCTAGTTCACTCAGGTAAAGACACTTAGATTCAGGGACACCTGATACAAGCAGCATTACTAGCTGAAAACTGCTTGTTAATGTTGATTTTTCTGATAAGACTGCAATTTCAGCCTTGTAATGGGGGTCATTCCCAGGCAACTGATTCAAGTCCAATGTCTGCTGTACTCATTGTAGATACAATAGTCCATACCTGCATTCCTACTGTGGTGGATGGTCCAGAATGGGGTGCCTCTATAGTGTTTCTATAGCTTCACCTCCTATAAGGACAGCTTCTTTGAAAATAATTAACTACACATAAATTAAAGCACACACACATACATACCATGTAGCATAAAACACTGCTTTCTTTGTAGACAAAGGCAAAGGCAAGGCTGTGTTCACAGCAAGGCCAAGGACAGAATATTTTTTGTTTATAATGTTTGCTATATATGTATGAGTGCGCCTTTCTCTAGATCCTAGCTGATTAACAATTAGCATAGCTTTTCAAATCCTAGAATCCAGACAGTTTTTCCTATAGCTTATAAATACTGTTTGGTTGATATTTTCAGATCCTGAACTTGAATCACTGACAGGTGGTTGAAAGCACTCTGGCAGGAGATTTCTTACATACAAGCCTCATGAAAGGAAGTGGGACCCACAACTGCTACCAAGTATATTTTAAATCAGAATATTTTGAATATACAAAATACATTCAAATATTTTGAATATTTTGAATATATTTTTAATACCCAGTCTTGAGAGGATATCTGGCATATCCTAAGGGAAATGTCACTGTATTGGAGGTCTAGGGACATGGACCATTCGTTGCCTCTAGCTTTCCAAGAGTGTGATTCTTTCTCTAGCTCTTGTTCAGAGCTTTAATGTACTTGAAAAGATAGTCTGTTGTAGAAAATTTTCTTATTTCAACCTTTAGCAGAAAATTACACAGTATTGCATGTGATAATTCACTTTTAGGAATCAAGATGTCCATATTAGATTATTCAAAGACACAGACTATTTCAGAATAAGCAGATGCTGGATGGGTGTTTTTATTTTTTTTATATACACACCAAACTCTTAAATGTAGAGCTCTCCAAACCAGAATGCTTATAAAACAGCTCCAGTTTACATCACTGAAGATTTACAAATAGAGCATTGAGGGGAAAATAACATATATATAACTGCAAATACCAGCACGGAGCAGAAATACACTAAATGTACTTTGTCTGGTATATTAGTGAGTATTTGACCTCTTTCCCTTAGGCCCCAGTTTCTGAAATAGCATGGAAATCAAAATTATTATATCTTTCTACTTAAAAAATTCCTCCCTAATTCCCTCCACTATTGCTAAAAATTACTTACCAGCACATCCAACTCACTAATTCTTTTCTATAATCAGCCCCTCAATTATCTGGCGATAAATGAAAGGGCACAGCCCATCAGGCTCCTGGTAACTACAGATGCTGAGTGCCATCATGAGCTTTGGAAACTGCCTGTCCTTTGCACCCAGGAGCTGGGGATCAGCAGGCTGTGCCAAAATAAACCCTCATTCAATTCCCTCTTCCTTCAATAGACACATCTGCTTTGCTCTTGACTCTGATTACCAGGAATGGACTGATGAAAGCTCCACACAGTCAGGTAGTTTCAATTCCTTTTCTAAGCAGTGTGTGTGGGTGTTGTGTGCAACAGGGGGAAACACTTTTTAGTCATAGTCTGCATTGCTGAGGGCTTTGGAGATATATCCAGAGCCATACTTGGACACAAATCTCTAGACTTAAACTGTCTATAAAGCTGCATGGTAAATACACCCCAGGAAGTGATTTAGCATAGAAAATTTCATATTGGATCATTTTGTCTTTTCCAAAGACAGTGAACTATATACCACTGTGGAAAGCTAGGGACACTAGTAAGAATCCTTTATGTGAAGATCTTCTGGCCCTGTGTGCACTTTTGTGGAGGTTGGCATTTCTCCAGGATTTCCCAGATGCAGCACTTGAAAATAAAATTTGTGCAAGATATTGACAATAAAAAAGTGCATATTTTTTGTTCAAGAGAGCTTCCTGTCAATTTCAATGAATCTCCAGACATTGTTTGAAATTTGCACTTCCCCAATTTTCAGTCTGGAAAGGATAAAGTCCCCAGTCTGCTTGTAAATTACTCATTTCCTGAATGCCACACATACCCAGCCCAGTAAAAGGTGATTTCACTGTGCATGGCAAATGAAAAGCTTGGGACAAATTATAATTCAGAGGTTGTTATGATCTGGAGCTCTTGTTAGTGCTCAGTAGACATAATCATAAAATAATAATATTGTATCTGTACTAACCATGGATTATGATGAAGTTTTAGCTGGTCCCCCCCATAGTGATAGGAGTGACAGTATAATCTAATGACACACATGGAAGTCCTTCAAAGGAGTGATTTTGACTTGGTCTTTTGACAGATGGAGAAAAGAGGGCACAGAGCAGGTAAATTAATTGCCCCAAAAGCCTGAGGGAAAAGTCAATTTCAGACAAAGTCCTGAAAGTAAATTTGATCATAATAGATCATGTGAACACATGTGAATGCATTTCTAGTGCTCCTGAGGAAAAGAAGAATGAACTTGTCTTTAACCTCTGTGCATGACACCTCTTCTTTAAAAATGTGGGTGTCTTCATCATGACCAACAAGATGTGTCTGCAGTGGAGAGAGACACACGGACATGTTACAGACACTCATTTCCTGGCTTAGGCAGCTTTACTCTTTCACTTAGAAGAGTCAGGAAAAAAACAGATCTGCTCTGCAGTGGGGAGAGTGCAACTGCTGGAGACCCTGGGGTACAAAGGTTACTAAGGAAACAAAGGTACCTATAGGTACCAAATATACAGTAAGAAACATCCTAAGAATATAAAGTGAAAGTTTTTTAAAAATGCTGGCTTGTTTTGTTTACCTTCTTTGTTTATGCCAAATACCTTTACCATATGTGATATAAGTAAGACAAATCAAACTATTCCTGTTAAGAACACTGTGAAGAAATATAAAGTTTTCTTTTCTTCACACGGCACATCCTTGCAAGAAAGCAGCTTTAAGAGCATTACTGCTACTGTCAGGACAGATACCTTGCTTCCAAATTCCTACAGGGGTGTGACACTAAGCTGTAGCTGTTGTGAAAGGCAGCTGCAGTGCTGTTACCCAGCTGTGCAGACAGAAGCCCCCATTACCCTCCCAGGCTTACCAATACAGTGCAGTGGCTTGATCTGAAAATGCTGATGATGTTGCTTTACAACAAGGAGATTGAGAGACTCCAGAGAGCAGTTCTGATTGCACTGCAATGTTGGCTTGGTGCATGGCAGCAGCATCCAGCAGAGCCCAGCAGGAGTGCATTCTGCTGTGTCTCTGCATCATTGCTCTGTTTTATAGGTACATGTGGAAGAAATGCAGCACCCAAGCAGAGTGCTCTGACAGCTCTTCATGTTGGCCTCAGATTAGCATCAGCTTGTTCTCCTGTTACATACTCAAATTCAGAGTCCAAAGGGGCCTGAGTCTGCCCTGCAGACATGCTTGCTATTCAGGCTGATTTCCATCTCCTCTGACACTCTTTACAAAACTCAAACTTCAGAAGAAGCGGAGTGTGGTTTTTGTATCAAGGACTGGCAAAAGGGATTTTCTCATGCCTCAGCAGTTAGAGATACAGGCAAAATCTATTCATTCTTTTTACTTTTGCATGCTCATTGTGGGGGTGAAAATATACTGTAAATACTGCTGACAGCTATGGCACCCTATGGCACCCTATGGCACACATCACACTGTCTCTCTCCAGACCTTGCATGTGTGAAAACAGCACAAAAATGGCTAACAACTTCATGCTGCAAGGTTCTTTTTAACTTTTAACTAAAGTTTAATTAACCTTTTAACTAAGGTTCTTATTTTTAAGTCTAATCAAAAACTAAACTAGCCAGTTAAGAAGTGACAC